AAAAAACTGATGATAAAAACGAGATTTACTAAAGTGTCGAACTTGATGTCCTTTAATCAAATCAATCGACATAACTTATTACAGATCAACCCTCGAAAAAAGAAAGATTACGCAAATTTCTGTAATTAGTTATGTCGATTGATTTGATTAAAGGACATCAAGTTCGACACTTTAGTAAATCTCGTTTTTATCATCAGTTTTTTCCGGCCCCGGCTAATTCGATAAGAGAAATTCTGATACACAGTTCCTTTTTCGAAAAAAGCTAATGTAAAGTCCTAAAGTGTTAAATATATGAGAATAAGTTTGTTAATAATAAATAATTAAAATTATTCCAAATTTTTATGTCATCAATAAATAAAATATGTAATGTATTTTATTTTGAGATAGTTTTAAATTACTAATTATTCGAAAATCATTCAAAATTGTATAAACTTGAGCTATTTTATTGTTAGCCATCCGGAGAGAAGGCTACTAAATAAATTTGTACGCTAGTTCCGATCTAAATTCTTTAGAGATTACAACTGCACCATTGTGCCTAAGCTGTCGGCTGCCAGTTGAGTGTAAAAGAGTTTTCCGACTAAATTATAAAGATGAAAAGCAATATTAGAAACTTGGATCAAGGAAAAAATGTTAGCTCACCTTAAGGTCTTCTTATTCAAGAATTTAATACAACAATACATTCTGAATTTCCGATGTATCGTTAGCTCAAACCTATCCATCTCATCAGGACCATAAGCCAGATGTATTGCTGTTCTGACATCTAGGAGGTGGTACCAGAGAAAGATTCGTCACGTATCTCATCCTAGAAGTACTCCAAATTTATTATGTAGTAGTTGAGCCCTTGACCATAACAAACTTCTATGAAAAAATCGAGGATAATTTATCTCTCTTGGGAAAAACGACACAATTTCATGTCGAATCGCAGAATCGATTAGTTGGAAATTATAGAAACATCATGCAGGATACCACTGAGGAAAGAATAATCGCATACTGAAGTTCTTTTCAAAAATATTATCTTTGCGGAAAAAATTTTTGACGGAACAAGTTCAAGCATTGACAAAGGTTGTGGAAGAGGAACGATCCAAAAGAATGTCTATGCAAGTGGAATTTTGGCTAACATTGCAGCATACCTCACGAACTTTGAAACTTCTCAATCGGCTGAGCTTGAGGCTGTCGTTAGAATAATTCAGAATTCGATTTAAAAAAAAGCATTTATTATATCCTTTTGAATGAGCTGTAGACTTTATGTTTATATTGTCTTGTATTTACCTCAACAAAACATATCCGTCGGATCATTCAGGGAAAAGAACATAATCGCCTTTGACGGCATGACTTCATCAAATACCAGCTATCTGGAGAACTATGAAAAACAATACAAATAAACCAAAGAAAACCTAGCCGCTCTTGCAAGGTAAAAGTTTGTCTCGGGTAAACACAAATATTAATAATGTCACTAAAAAATATTTTTTATTTTCTGTGGATACAGGAAAGTCTTCACAGATTTGTCTCCACCGTCTACTCCATTAAGGACAACGTTTTATCGAAATCGGGTGCAAATAAAAATATAATCGATTCAATCATGCACTGGATGCCTTGACAACGACCGGTAAGTTTTATTATTATTTTAAACATCACCGGATTGCCAATTAATTAATTAATCTCACATCTTTGACATCGCAGCCAACGAAGAAGCGACGAAACTACACCAGCAACATGATCAATCATTTAAGAATTTTGCGGTTGGAGTTTTTCAAAGTTATTCTGACATCCAGGGCAAATTATCAAGACTCAAAATGAATTGAAGTATTATCTGGAAGAATACATTATTAATTATGCCCTTCTAGGAGGTGCTAATCTGATCCAGATTCTCAAGAGATACTCGTTAAAGCTGTTCAATGCTAATTGGGTTATCTGATGAGAAGGCCATTGAATTGTGTTGTCGTCACCGGCGAGTCTGTCGCTAAAACGGCTCACTCTTTGCATGACGATAATCTGAACGCTTGGATTTCGGTACTAAATAAGGTAAAGCTTTAACTCAGAGGCGGATTACGATTTGACCGACTTTCGCGCACTTTCTAATCTCTTCTTGACCGTCTTTCCCTAGGCACATCTCAAGATTACAAATGTCACTCTCTTCACGGCGCACAAAGGTAACGTCGCGTCTCTCTTAAAGTCGTTTACTTTAATGTAATGGCGTAGACTTAGTTTTATACTTTAGGTTGTGCGAAGTAAAATAACATTTATTCAATAAAGTGTAAGCGAACCGAAAATAAAGAAGTATTCTAAAAAAACTAAACTCCTCTCCAATTTCGGAGCTGGAACCTCCTCTTTCTAAGCTACACGAACTATCCTATTTATATGCTTTGTTGACGCGTTTTTACCCATTTCGTGCCATTACAAATTATTACATCATTCCACCATCACCGACATTATTGTTATGCGACGCTCCACAATGTCGCGTTCCCATCCCTATTGTTCCGCAACAATTGATAAAATCAATATGATTGCTAGAATGCATGAATCCTGAATTAATAGAATTAGTATGTCACTCTAAAATGCATAAATTCTGATCCAGATTCTCAAATGACTACAGTATATAACAGTGAATTTAAACTTTAATAAGTACGCATTCATTGAACCTGACCTTTTTCATTTTGAATAAACAAGTCCATAATATATTTTAACTTAATGTTTAATATAAAATAACTCCTTTTACATGCCACAAACAAACAACTCTATATTCACCACTGTAAATAAAAATTCTGCTTTTGTATTCTTCCAAGCAAGACTATGAATTGCACTAGGGAATATCTAATCACTATGTAGTAATAGAATTATATAGACAACAGCTATATCATTTTTTTATTATTATTTATGAAAATTGAGTGTCATCTGGCAAGAATGATACACACAGTAAAAGATATAACTAGTATGCCCTTCTAGAATGTGTGGATTCTAATATCGAGTTTGGTGCAAAAGTCTTTGGACTAACATTTGTTTTTAATTTTATTTATAAATGATAACCAATTAATAAAATACAATAAAAATTTAAAAATATACATGTAAAAATGTAAATAATAAGGTTACTTAAGAGAATTTTTTAAATATATTATAATAATATATTTAAAGTTTGATTCCAAGTTAAAAATGTATTTTAAGGTTATATCAAAAATTTTGTTATATGGGTAATTATTTTTGAAGGCAACAAAAATGCTAGATATGATTGTTTCAAACCTAGCTTTTAAACAATACATATATAATATAAATTTTAGGATCACACCAGAAAATTTCCAGTTCACCTTCAAAAATAATTACCCATATATTATGGGTTATAAAAAATCAATAAAATTATTTTAATGTATAAATTTGTTAATTAAAAATAAAAAAGATCACTGCATAATTTCTTTATAATTTTGAATTAAATAAAAATCTTTAAAAAAATTTTCATAATAATTTTTTAAATTTAATATTACAAAATAAAAAATTTGTTAATTCTATAAAACTGATTTATATTTTATAAAAAATATTTAATAGACCTGTGGATCTATAGTGTAGTGGTTAACACTTCACAGATCAAATCACAAGATACCAGTTCAATCTTATGTGAGGGCAGTTGAATAGAATTAATATGGTATTTAGTGCCATAACCTGTTAAGCGATATTTCTCATATGAAGCCGTTTCATACACTGATCCAGCGAGTGTTGAGATTGGGATTTCCAGAAAAGGAAATGGGGCGTAACGATTGTCTGGTGGGAGTTATGATGATTGTTGCCAAGTTTGATGCAATTTCCAGTTCCACAATAGGCTGTTTTCCTTCTCCTATAGTCCATGAGACTATAAAAGAAATACATTATGGAAAGCCACAAACCAGAGAAATTGGACAGCAAGACTATAATACGATCCCTCCTTCAGCATGAGTTACAACTCACCAAGCAATACCCACCATTCTTACCTGTAGTGAAGGTACTCAGTTGATAACATTTGCCAGAATGGAAGATCTCCCTAAGATCTAGTCTAACTTTGAAGGAGTTGCACCCTCTTAAATAAACAGCTTATGCTTGAAGCCCAGCATTATCTAAAGAGATTGAATCTTCAATCCTGGATTTAAAGATATTGAATTAAATTTTGGCCATAG